CACACCTCCTGACACAGTGTCTCCTGAATGTTATTCCATTTAGATCATGAGGACTGGCTGGTGTGGATCATACACAGCAATTACATAAGCCATACCAAACAGCTGCTTTCAGTAATTATGTCAGAAGAAATGAAAGAACCAGTCTATTGTATTCATCCTAGACAACCCGGCTTCAGTTTGTAATCATCCCTTGTCTTTGTTACCTTCTCTTTGGAAAAGAATGTTTCCAAGCACAGATCTTGTTCCAAGACAGTCTGACATGCACAAATCAGAGCTTATAAAACAAATACATTAGATGTTGAATGATCAATATACAAAAAGATCCCAGCCAGAGTTGCTTTAAATCAATGGTTCCTATCCAGAGATGCATCCCAGAATCACCTGTGAAGCCTTAAGAAACGCACGTGCCCAGGAACCCAGCGAGGGAGATTCTGATTCTGTCAGCCTCTTATTTTCCAAAGAGCCGCTGGTGATTCCAATGTATGCCCCAATGACGAATTCTAGTAATCCTACTCCCAGGGTGGGACTCGAACTCATGACCCTGAGATCAAGAGTCACATGCGCTTCCAAATGAGCCAGCCAGACATCCCTTCTCCCAATTAAGAATTCTGACTAGGGGGACGCCTAGGTGGCTCAGTCAGTTAGGCGTCTGCCTTTGGCTCAGGTCATGATCCCAGAGTTCTGGAATCGAGTCTCACGTCAGTCTCCTTGCTCAGCGGGAAGCCTGCTTCTCCCTCTGCCTGCCGCTCCCCCTGCTTGTGCTCTCTCTCTCTCTGATAAATAAATAAATAAAATCTTTAAAAAAAAAAAGAATTCTGACTAGGAATCAGTGGTTTTCAGTTCCGGGTGTGTTAAAAAATTCTATGCCTAGACCATCCCAGCCGCTGAGCAATTTTTTTTAAAGTTTCTTTTCTAATTCCAGTTACTTAAAATACAGCCATATGAGTTTCAGGCGTATGTTATAATGATTCAATACTGCCATACATCACCCAGTGTTCATCACCTGACAGCGCACTCCTTAATCCCTACTTAACCCATCCCCCATCCACCTCCCCTCTGATAACCATCAGGTTGTTCTCTTTAGTTAAGAGTCTGTTTCTTGGTTTGTCTCTCTCTCTTCCTTTGTTTTGTTTCTTAAATTCCACATATGAGTGAAATCATATGGTGAGCAAAAGTGTTTTAAAAATTCTTTAAGATGATTCTCATGAGCAGTCAGAGCTGAGAGTCACTGCCTTAAATAATAAAACCTGACAAATGCAAGGCATGATTTATTTACATATATATTTTCAGAGGCATATCTACAGGTGACCCTTGATTACAAGGTACAGGGAAGGTAAAAGTATAGGGAGTTCATGGATAACCCAATCTCACAGTAATAAGAGTCCACTCTTGATTATCCAAGGGGGGATTAAGTGATTTACAGACTGCTCATGATTAAGGCTCAGCAGGCCATGATGATGGGCTCACTTCTCCCAACTCCATTCCCAGCTCTGGCCTCCATACCTTCCTTCAACAGCTTAGGTTCTTAGGAATATGGGAGCAGCAGGCCTGTGCTAATTATCCTGAGCCTCAACTGTACTTCAACTGCCGTTAATGTGCAAACTGATTAATCAGCAGCACGATAATAAAGAGGCAACTAACTATGCTTTGTACTGGTGAGGTCGCCTCTTGCTGAAAACGAGCTGCACGTGGAGAGTTCATTTTTATTCATTTTCCACCTTCATGTGTCAACACAACTTTAACTAGGCAATGATGGGGCAGTTTTAAATCTGACAGTAAGTCATGTATCATTGCCTTAAGAACTCTAAATATTTAAGGCTTCTTGCATGCTTTTAGACAAAATCAATACTGTGGAGGAACTCCGTTTTCAAGTTTATAGATACAGATTTAGAGGCATGATGGATATAAACTAATAATGTTTGCCACTTAATTCTAATATAAAGTCTGTGCTTTATATGAAGCATACTGAGAAGTAAATGCTTCTCATTAGTCTTGCAGAGTGTAACTAGTTCCTTCCCTCGTAAAGCCTCTCTTCTGAGGAATTAGTCTCTTCCCTCTTCTGTAATAAATGAGATACTAGAGACTAAAGAAGTCAACATACCTCTTTTGGAGTTTGTTTTCCCCTTTCTTCCAAGTTTTTATTTTGAAAGAGTTCAAACAATGATGTGGAAAAAACTGTATAAGAAATACCCATATACATTTCTCCTAGATTCAACATTAACATTTTGGGGTGCCTGGGTGGCTCAGTTGGTTGACCATCTGCCTTCAGCTCAGGTCATGATCCCGGGGTCCTGGGATCAAGTCCTGAATCAGGCTCCCTGCTCAGCAGGGAGTCTGCTTCCCCGCCTCTCCCTTTGCCCCTCCCCCATGCTTATGTGTGCTCTCTCTCTCTCTCACATAAATAAGTTCTTTTTAAAAAATTAACATTTTGCCATATTTATGCTCGCATGAGCTCTCTCTCCACACACACTTCTTTTGGCTGAACCATTTGAAAATAAAGAGCTGACTTAATGATTACTTCATTGCTGAAAAGTGCAGCATGCATACCCCCGGAATGGAGATATTTCCCTATATAGCTTTAATAACGTTGTCACTGTTAACAGAACTAACAATAATTTCCTAACAATATAGCCAGTACATTTTCTTTTTCTTTTTTTTTTTAAAGATTTTATTTATTTATTTGACAGAGAGAGAGAGAGCACAAGCAGGGGGAGTGGCAGGCAGAGGCAGAGGGAGAAGCAGGCTCCCCGCAGAGCAGGGGGAGCCCGATGTGGGACTCGATCCCAGGACCCTGGAATCATGACCTGAGCCGAAGGCAGTCGCTTAACCAACTGAGCCACCCAGGCGCCCTAGCCAGTACATTTTCAAGTGTCCTCAATTGTCCCTAAGATGTCTTTATGTTGTTCATACATTTTTTTCAAATCTCTGGTGAATTTATCATGAAGTTGTATGGCCATGAACAGTGTATGTGTTCATTAAACATGCTAGTTCCACAAGGAATACCTGGCAGACCATGGGATTCTCTGTGGTCACTGAAGAAAGCAACTTCCCACCTCTGCAGTTATCAACTTAAAGATTTATTTGTAAAGGTTTCGAGATGTCCTAAGCTCTTTTTTCCCCTGACTACACTACAGAGCTATTTGTGACAGCCACAGAGGTGTTTTTCAAATTCAAGCGGCCACAAACTCAATGAAAGAACATCAGTTTTACCTCTAAAGTTCTCCTTACCCTTTCTTTCTTTTCACAAATCCTTCATTCTGATTAAAGCTGCCCCTTCCCGCCCACCTGAGTAAGTGGGTCTCTGCAGCAGCTAACAGATAATGATGGTGTGAGAAGCCTCGGAAGCCTGTTTGCAGCCTTGTGGCATGGCAAACCCTTCTGTTTTAAGGTTGACAGGTAGAAATCGAAAGGTAGTATAACTATGGCTGTGGGAGTGGTAGTGATGGTGGCGGTGATGGTGAGCTTATGGTGCCGGTGGTGGTCCCAATTTCAGACCCTTGTCCCAAAGTAAATATATATTCAGAAATATAAACCATAATTAGGTTCAATCAAGCACTTGAGATCCCATTCTAGAACTAGGCACGTTTTGTATATGACCAAAGTGTTACTGATACCCAAGGAAGTGCCTATCACCTGCGATTTTGTAAGTTTTGTGGGGTTTCCTTAGGCCTGGAGAATAAGGCATGTCTACACTTGTGTCATCCATATATCGAATAACACCTCCTTTTAATTGGGAACGTGAGGAGATCAGGATTACCCGACCAGGATAATGACCACAGCCAACCAAGAGACAGCTCCTCAGAACATCTCAACCAATACCTGGGCAACACCTTATACCCAAGAGCTTAGCTTCATTAGTGGAGACAAGTGCTTTCTCTTGTGCCAACACCCACTTAACCCTGACATGCTATCATGCCTGTAATTATTCTACAAAGGGTGCTTATGTCTGACCAAACACTTGAACAGCCACTGTATTCACCTCTGTAAAATCTGCTTGTGAAGAATGTTCTAGAGAGTGTAGAGTAATAAAATATTTATTGTAGGTTCTTGTGAAGTACAATGTACATCTGTATGTCTGGAAGTCAGCATCTCTAAACACAGAGGAGTCCCAAAAATCTGACTACCGGTTGCTTATTAAACCTCTAACTTGGTGATACTGTTCCTATCACTTACTCATCTGCTCTAATTTACCTTCATTGTTCACTGAATAAGTCTAGCATAATTTCACCCACTATTGACATTGGTTAAATATGATAAGCCACCTTCGAAATTAGTTTTATGGCCCAAAGAGTTTCATCCATCATTAGCTCATGACTGTGCGCATTTAAAACCAGGTACTGTGTGTGTCTAGAAGAATGAACCACCCTGAGCCCACATGCAGCAGGACTATGTTGCTGGAACTTCTTGCATTAAACCAGTATCTTTTCAACCACAATTACTGAAAAGAAGAAATGGCATGAACACCAGCAGAGATTCTGGTAGAAAACAAAATACTATCACGTCTTGAGAAGGCCCATCACAGGTAGCTTTGATGCTAAGGGATCAAAAACCTGACCAATATCATCTTTAACTACATGCTAAAACAATTCTAGCAAATTCCAACATGCACCCAGTATGTTCAGGAAAATCAAACACTCATGTGGATGATGTCAGCAATGTTAGCTACCAATTATTATTAATTCTTTTAAAAAACTGAAATAGATTTGACCTTGAAGTGAGAAAGTGACCCATGTCTTTGCTAGGACTTTGAGTTCCTCTCTGTGGGCCATTAGGGATTCACCTGCAGACAAGCAGGCTATTTCTGTATATGGCACAATTGATTTTTTTTCTTTTTTTTTTTTAACCAGTGATTTTTTCCTGTGTCCATGGCAGTACAGGAAGATTTATGAATGCAAAATCAAACATGTAGAAATACCGTTTTTATCACGGGACAAAGAGCTCGATTCAATCATAGCAACGGAAATTCAACAATCCAAGAATATTTGAAGGAGAACACATACCTGCTCTTTGGATGGTACGAGGAGTTCTTCAATCATCATGCTGTCCCGTGCGTAGGAGCTTCTGTTCAAGGTGTACGACCTATCCGAACTGAAGGAGCGGAGGCTGTTGTATTTACAGTTAACCATTCAAGAGTGGTGGATGATGATGAGATGAATAAAATAAAATTAATGCATGCAACTTTGAAAACAGGCAAGATGGCTAAAAATATCAACAGAAGTCGTTCTCGAAAAGACATCATCAAAAATAAAATCCTTTATATTTGAGGAAATCTCTTCAGCTTGGACAATCTCATGATCAGATTTTGTTTAAAATTAGGCCAAATGGTGTTAAATCTGTGAGAATATGAAATGCATGAAAACTTTGGATGTTTCAACATCACAGCTGAACCAACATGGCAATTGAGAAGAACCAGATGACTCTCTATAATCTGATAATTGGAGAGAGTTTTCTATGGTAAGACCGTATGTTAGAGTCTCCTTTATTTCTGGTCCATATCTGTTCACCTTGCACTATTGAATGGAATTCTGACTGCTGCAAATGGGTGTGTTCATAAGTCTCTGGAAACCAGATATGGGTTTAACCTAGTAAGAGCTCGGGTTTACAGCTGGACTCATGGAAAACGTAGAAAAGGTCTTATGACAAACAGACCTTGCGTGATCTTTGCCATCTTTCTGGCCTTGAAAAATTCAAATTTCACACCTGGTTACTTTGTCTTTCCTTGCTCTCCTCCTTCCTTCCTTGTGCCTTATATTGTTCTCCTCTCTAGCCTCTCTTAAATCCTCTACACAGCCCCTGAGTGCAAGACCCCTGATGTCCTGAAATGCCTCTCACACACTGACCTCGAAACTAAAAACCAACAGAGAGTTGGGGGGAGGGAGTGGCAGGGCAGGAGAAGTGGGCAAAGATGCTCAAAAGATATGAACTTCCAGTTATAAAATAAGTAAGTCCTGAGAATGCAGTATACATCACAGCGACTTAGCTAATAATATTGTACTGAGTATTTAAACGCTGCTTAAGAGAGTAGATGTTAAAAGTTCTCATCACAAGAAAAAAAATATTTGTAACTATGTGTGGTGATGGATGTTAATGTGACTTATTGTGGCGATCATTATTTTGTACACCTAAAACTAACATGTTATATGTTAATTACATCTCGACTTAAAAAACAATAGAGTAAGGGATGTTGGGAAGCCTGCACATATGCATACTGGGATTGCAGCTAATCCAAGCCTTGGCAGAACGCCTTGGGATTAATCCTCCAGAAACAGAGGACAAACTTGTGAGGAGCTGCTCTGAGGTCATGTCTGTCTTGCCTCCCTATCCCACCCATCGTGATAGGCTGTCATAAGGTAACTTTGCATTGCTCTTGTTTTGAAGGAGGTCTGACACTTCCTGCCCTGCCCTCCCTGGAACAGAGCTGCAGAACAAGAAACCTCTTAGCGGCAGTCCCAGCAATGCAGTATCCCACAACTACCGTGGTAGGTAGACAGCCCCTTTTGTTTCGGTGGCGTCCTTACTCATATGGAGGACAAGGACAGTGGGAAGTTGCCACCCGTCACTGCCCATGTAAACAATAAACTGTCTGGATCTAAATGTGGCTGCTTGAATCTTTACCAATAGAATCAGGCCTTGGCCTTGCCTTGTGAGTGTGTGACAGGGAAAACAGCAAAAAGGTATATAAGAAATGGTTTCTTGCTTTGCACAAAATGACTTCTTTTCTCCACTGCTCACTATACTAAAGATTACCCAAGGTGGGTATTTTTATAACAAGATACAGAGGCCCCTGAATTACAGGAATCATTCTAAGGGTCTACACAAATGAATAGATGCGTTCTTCTAGGATTAGAGCCTTGCCTTCCACCAGAATCTTGGGGGGATCTTCAACTTCAAAATAACCATCGTTCTCTAGTGTATTCAGCAAATATGTACGGACTCTTATGAGTAAGGCACAAATGTTAGAGACTGGATAGAGAAGCAAAAACAAAACCAGAAAGAACTAAGCCTTATTTCTGCACAGAGGAGTTACCTAGTAAGCCACGTGCCTGGCCATGTGCATGGGTGGGCCTTCTGGACCCAGTCACAGGACACATAACTCTTCATTTTTTTTTCCTGCTTCAGTGGCAAACATTTTTTTTTTTTTCTGTTACTCCTGTTTCTAGCCCCTTACCTTCTCTCAAATACAATCTAACTCCCCTAAAAGCAGATATTGTCTTTCTACTCTCTAACTCAACACTGTCCAATAGAGCCTTCTGCAATGATGGGCATGTCTTAATCTGCACTGTCCAAAACAGTGGCCACTGGCCACATGTGGCCGCTGAACACCTGAGGCGTGGCTAGTGTGACTGAAGAATTGAAATGAATTTTATTTAATTTTTACTAATTTTAATTTAAACAGTCTTTTGTGGCTAGGGGCTACATCATCAGTGTAACTTCTAGCACTCATAGCAAGGTTCCATTTGCCCCAGTGATGTGGTGTGGGAGGCACTGGGAAGCCCCACTCTGCACTGCACATTCATTTTTAGAAATTCTGGTTTCCAATGCATATGCTAACATTGGTGGAACCACGTTACAGGATATGTGAACAAACACTTAAATGTTTAAAAAAATTATTACCTATTCATTTTAACTTCAGTTTTTAAATCTATCTAAGATTTGTTAATATTTTAAAAATATCCTGTTTCTTTTAACATCTGTATGAGTACCAACTGAAGAACAGAGCCTAGAAACTGGGTGCTGTCAATGGAAAAGCCTAAAGATGTCTTCGTTTTATACAATGTCTAAGTTCCTGCTCCTCACTGTTCCCAACCAAGTTACATTAGACAGATGGAGCTCATTATGTCCATCAAGCTTAGCTCTGAATCCTTAATACATCAGAGCCATTTCAGCTACTAAAACTAGATATTATTTGCATGGGATCTGGAAAGCATTAAATTGTTTTTAACTAAGGTCAACTATATTATTTGTAGCCATCGGTACACCCTAAGTGTTAAATACAGGAAGTGTTAGAAAAACACATGCCTCAGAAGTCTAAAATTATACTAATGTACCTAGCACAAAGTCAAATAAAACGGCCACCAGCAAACAGACTGCTTTTCAAATCAAGACTTTTTCTTCAAACCCAATGAAAGTTCTCCAGTTACATCATGCACTATACAAACTTTGTTAAAGGAAAGAAATTCCTTAAGTGTTCAATTTTGCATTAGTCACATCTCTTGTCATACATTTAGTTACTTCCTAAGTTTCTCAGAATTACAAAAGTGATTTTCTAATGTTGAGCAGGAAAAAAAAAGAAAAGCACATTGCAGCACAGCACAGCACAATGCTGAAGAAAATAAAAATGAGAATATGAATCAGGGAAGGGCAGAAAACACCGTAAAAGGGACATATCTTCTTACCTGATCTTGGGACTAATTTAAAGTATTTTTAGAAAAACACAGGAGAAGTGGAAAGCAAAAAAATCAGACAGGGAAAAAAGAAAAAAAATGTTATGGTTGAATGAGTTACACATTGAATGTATTCCTTTTAAATGTTACACTCAGAATATTATATTTGGTGATACTCTAACAATACTTTAAAAAATATATCGGCTTTATAGATTTTATTTGCAGATTTGCCTCTGAGCATAACATGAGTTGCCAATGTAAAAAAAAAATGAGTTACACATAATAGCAACAAATCATAACGGTGCAATCAAGACCAGGAATGTGGAAGCCTTAGAACTGTCTTGAGAAAAACTATAAGAGACAATATGCTGGTTTCATCTCTCACTGGATGTCAGCTTCTACAATTTTCTATATACAAATGATTGATTCACAAAATGTAGCTTTTACATATTATCTGAGGAAGTGAATCAGCTAGTTAATGGATTGCAAAAGCTATTAAGCCTCCAAATAGAATTTTCTCTTGAGATCCTTTGAGATTCTGCCTATTTTCAGTTGTAGCTTGTGGCTCTGTGCGCTTACCTGAAACATTATGTATTTTTAAAAAGTTATTTTCCCCTTCCTATTAATGATACCTGCTACAATAAGCTTTTAAGGACTTTTATAAATACACTTATCAAGCAAAAATTCTATGGAGTTACATGACGTTCCAAATTCCACTAATAAAAAAACTGGAAGAAAAATCTATTCAGTATCTAAACTGGCCACATCAACAACACTGAGAATAAACTCCCAGGCTTTACTTTCTGGGAAGTGCCATTTACTATTAGACAATGAAACTTTTTACAACAGATCCTTAAACTATAGGAAAATGTCCTCAGGGCTCTGGCTTAGAAAGCTTAATTATTAGCTTTAAAATAACTTAACTGTCAGCAAACATGCTGTTAAACCAACCAGGGAAAAGAAGTCCCCAAATTCTGGACAAGGTCCTGTTTCTTTCAGCCAGCGTCAGGTAAGTATGAGCCAAGGTTTTTCACATGCAAAAGTTTTACACTTCAGTTTTAAGGACTGAATTTGCTACCATTCCTGTCTGTGACTTTGGGTAAGTCTGGTGGCACTCCTGACGCATCCCTTGTAAACAAGGTAATGGCATAGTTTTAGAAGAGATACCCAAACACTTGGCAGACAATCCTAATAAACTATATGTAATTTTTTTTTCAAAAATGCTCTCTTTTAAGTCTCAATCATGAATGATGCTTTCAGTGAAGAAGAGAAAAGAGTGAGCAATCCATACAACTGTATCGCACTTACTGGAAAATAAGATTTTTCATTCACTATGGAACACAATTTAATTTTGAAACACGGAGACCACACTGGCCCTCCCAGTTCTGTCAGTGAGCTCTTCTACTATCATGCCTGAAACATGACTGCAAGGGGGGAACAAACCAACACTCGACATGTTAATCACGGAAAATCAAGGACCGAAAAACCACGAAAGAAAACGGCAGGGCATGTACACCGGCGGTGAGAACATTCTACCAAATTCACACCCTCATCCAAAGAGCACATCGCAGGATAATGTGAAACGTGAAAATGACTTTGGTTGATGACAAATCATGGTTGTATTAAATTAACTGTGAAAACCAGCAACGATAAAATACCTGGCGGAACGGGCCCCGAGACTGAAGCCCATGTAGCCCTCGGCGGGGAGAGAGTCGTCACCCAGCTCCTTAAGGTCCTGCGGCCCAAGATACTTGTCCGTGTCCCCTGTCATGGCGTCCTCACCTGCCAATGCACAAAGCAAGCCAGAATCAGAAGCTTCCCTTTCTTGAAAATGCGTCTATTGTGGAGAAAACCACTCCTTTGGTCATCAGCAAATCATCCATGTTCTCATTCACTTTCCCTTACCCCCAGATAATATGTGTTACGTTTAGAAGGAAAAAGGAGAGGGGAGGTTAGTTCATAATTTCAAGAGTGAATGTAAGTAGCGAAAGGGCTCCTGGGATTCAGTACCAATTTTAAAATATTTCCCCGATCTCATCCCCCCCCCTCAAGCCCTGGCTGACTAGAAAGGTGGATCTTTTTTGTCAGTTAGCTTTCCACGCCTCACCACAAGGAGGGCAACTTGTCCGAATGGACGTGGATTGCAAACTAAAAGCCACCTTGCCATTACTACTCTGGAAATTAGACATGGGAAAGGAGTGGACTTTTTTTTTAAATGTCTTCTCACACACAAGATTTCAGTTTGGGGCTTATGTAAGAAACTAGCAAGTCATTTAACCGGAACTCTCACTGCTTCGCTGGAGAACGTTGAAACACATCAATTTCGAACTGTTTCTACACCTGTCACATGAACAGCTCGGTCCAGCTGCCCCAGGGCTGGAAGGTGACTTGGAAAGGAGCTCTACCTTCTGTAGAGTCCAAAGGCAGAGACCAGCACTTTGAAAGAAGAACTATATAAATTGCTCTCTGCCCATCAATACAAAGAGTTAATTCCGTAAAACTTTTACTAGCTACATAGGCATAACATGACCTCACGGAAAAACCACATTCCAGGAGTGACAGAGCAGGTTTTTCAAATGCCTTTTGCCCTCTGGGACGGTTCCCATCCTTTTGAAAATGCAGCACAGTCGGTGGAAAAGTTAGTTCTGCAAAGCAGGCAAACCTAATCCCCTTTTTATGACTCTCCTTCCCTTTCTGGACACAAGTTTGGCTGGCCGAGAGAGATTTCAAAAGCGTGGATGTTATGTTTTCTCAAAGGTAAGTGATTCATCTGTCCCAGCTATATTTTCCAATTCCTTCATTCAGTACCGTTTATAATTTCCATTCATTTAAACCCAGGAAACCACAAGAGCTTAGCTTTTAAACTACCAATCAAGTCTAAAAATACACTGTCAACTACTGTTTTTGCAAATATAAAAAATAAACAGATCTGCTTTCTACTACTACCCAGTACCGAGAGATTATTTTAAGTAACTATTCACAGCTGGGCTATTTGCACATTCACTGCATCTGAAACAAACACAGCACACACCAAGTACGACTTAAAGAAAGCGCTTACTCTGTGGTAAAGCCATTTCCACCAGGCGGGGCTGATCAAATGTTTCCCTGATGTTTCCAGGAATTCCTTAAGCAGTGATTTAGAATGTACCTCGGAATCAGCCCAAACAAACCGACCCCTGGGTTGTATTCGCCGACTTCACCACCGCCGCTGGGTTCTGCTCAGCATCTTCGTGTCCTCACAGGCAGTTGAAGAAGTACACATCGTTTTCTAACTCATCAGAGTTCAGAGATTTTCGATATTTCAAACCAGAAAAAAATAAAATAAAAAAGAGCCAAACCTGGCTACCCTTAATTGAGAAGACCCTTTTGATCACTCTGCAGACATCCTTTTAAAGCTCCTTCTGATTGGACCAAAAACTCCGCTGGCAAGCCTCTAGCAGGACCGAATGGTGACATAAATGCAAGCCCTTGAGTTATTTGTATGTAAATATGAGGACTGCTCCAGTGTAGACTTTCGGTAATTTGATACCAATGGCCGGTGCCTAACTGGGTAACCGCGGCAGCCTTAAATCTAGGGAGAGCCAGCGAGCGGGGTGCTGCGTTTAATTACGAGGTGACTCTTCTCCAACATGAATGAAGAAACGGCCAACCCAGGTAGAGGAAAAACAGAAGAAAACAAAGAAGTGGCCCAGGAGGGGAGTGGCCCGGAGCTCCAGGCAAACTTTCAACTTTGTTCTCGGCTGCGAACACCAGGAGCCCTGGTTATTTATGGTCCCTGTCAGGTGGAAGGAGGGGGAAAAAAGAGCAGGAGGGAGGGCCTGCCCTTGAGCCGAGGTGCTGAAACTGGCGGGCCGAAAGGAGTCTCGGTGGTTCCCGAATCTCTCCGAGCAGCACTGGAGGATACACGAATCCCCACTGCTTTTTATCAAGAGTTGGAAGAAAGGAGCAGAAGTGAGACGAGCTGGAAAAAGCAAGTGGATGTCTGCTTCACTTTGGGCATAAGTTCTTTCGGCTCTTTAACACCCTCAAAGGAACTCCCTGGTGCTCCCTCCTTGAGAGGGCTCGGTGGGGAGCGCTCCAAGCAGGGGCCAAGAGGTCTTTGCTGCAGAGGGCAGGACGCAGCCCAGAGGAGGCGCTTCGGTCACTTTGCTGTTACACTGTTTCCCTCTCTCTGGGACTCCTGGCCTCCCTTTTGAGCTGCTCCACCCTGTTTGTGTTGGCAGTGGAGGAAAAAACTAGCAGGACTTCTGCATCCTCCATCTGGGTACGCTTGAGAGGCGATTTCAATGGCTTTTTTTCTCAGACTAGCTGGAAAGTTAGGCTAGACACTAAGTAAAGGGCTTTGAACAGTCTTGCTGAAACAAGTGGTTTACAGCACTTTTCCATGAGTTTGTCTATCTGCTGGATTGTTCTCTAAAGATACAGAAATTTCAATCTGTAGAACCGAGGAAGTGGGGAACACATTTGTTTTTCCTGGATAAATGCAGAGCTCAATGAATGCATGACCCATCTAATAGTAAGATGACAGGAGACCCGGGGCTTTAATTTGAGCAGCCTGACTGTAATCAACATGGTAAATTTGCAGGAATAGAAGGGAAGCCATTTATAATGGCTTGAATTATGTATTGAAAAATATTCCCAAGCAAAAAAAAATATGTATTGAAAATGTACTGAAAAATATTCCCAAGCAAAAGAAGAAATTTCCAACTTTGCAAAGAATGGAAGGGGAAGTCATGGTTAAGATGGAAAAATGACTAAACATTAATCTGTTTTCCATATCTGCACTTAAGATCTAAACTGCTTAGCAAAGCCTCATTCAGTGACTGCCGCTCAGTCAAGCTTCCTAACAAGGACTGCAATGAAAAGGTTCCTTCCTCTTGACTTCTCGGCAGGCCTTCCCTGGCCAGTCCAGCACACCTGTTGCCCGTCTGTTATACAGAATTATTTCAGTCCCTAGAATTCCGAAACTCTTTAGACTTTGAACCATTACATAGCGTGCACTCTTGATGGAATCTTTATCCCTCTTCTTCACCTGAGTAATCTCTTCAATCTTTGACTCTAAAATTCCTCCTGTCCTGGACTCACCATCTTAAGTTAGTGCACTGTTCTTTGTGTGGGCTTCCCTTATCAGAGAGTATTGCCAGGGAAAACGTCTGTTTAGTCTCTCCCACTGGAGGGTAAGATCCATGCTAGATTAGGAACCAAATTCTTCCTGAACCTGGCATATTGCAACAGCCCCATAAATATTTTTGGATTTCATCATGGCTTTTATTAAAGAGCATAGTCAAAACAAAACAAAACAAAACAAAACAAAAATCAAAGAAAACCAGACTCTTAAATACAGAGAACAAACTGGTGGTTGCAGAGGGGAGGTGGGTGGGGGGATGGGTGAGAAAAAAAATAAAGAGGCTGGTGGTTGTGATTTTCTGCTCATCTACAGGCCACAGCAACTTAGCACTCTCTGGCATGCCAAGTTTGATGACTGGTATACAGTAAACTGTTAATAAAGTTAAGTTTCTATTCTTCTTTACCCATCCTTCTTAGACTTCCAAAATGGTCACTATGAAACCAAAAGATGCCCAGAGTTGAAATGGGGGTGAGAGCTATCAATATATTTGGCCAAAGATTCATTAAAATAGCCTTATGACATGGTGAAAACATTTCTTACAAGGGGTTTCAGAAAGTAGGAACCCGGGCGATGGTATTACTTTAAGGCAGTCTTGCATAGTCGGTGCTCTGGATTCAAATCCTGGCTTCATCATTTGCTAATTAGGTGACCTTTAGAACACTGTTTACTTTGAGTCAGTTTCCACCCCTACGAACCTGGGATAATAACTCTGCCTCTAATCTTAGCCCTCTTGAGGGAATTCAATGAAATAATGCACAGAATAAGGGCTTCATCAGCACAGTTAGTGTTATTCTGTAACACCGTCTCTGCTCTCCACTGCCTAACGCAAGGCCTGGCTCCTAGGTACTCAATAAGTATTTGTTGATTGACGGATTGAATGAATAATAATAGACCACACTCACTCTCCTTTCAATAAACAAAATATTCTATAATTTTGTACAGTACAACACAAATCTAATAAAAAATTAGAAAGGAATGACATGAATTGTGTTGAACGGCTTGGCTTGTTAATGGCCTCTAATTCATTCTACAACCCAAAAATATTTTGATTAGTGATAGCTTCGGACCAACAGGCCTGAACATAGATAAGCCAACAAAGATAATGGACAACTCTGATAGAATATCAGATATATTTAGTTGAAATAAATATATATTAGCAAGAATCACACATTTTCACTTACTAAGAAGCACTTGTGTGGATTTATGTTTCCTTGAAGTGTTTGGTGCAGTGTTATAACAGTTGTGTTGTAGATAAAATTGCGAATTTTGTGGTGAAGAGGGTGTGGCAGCTAGCATTTAAAGAAGCTTTCTCCCCACCCCCACCACGAACCGCGTCTCTTTCATTGAATCTGGGCTGGTTCAGTTTTGAACAATAAAATGCAGGGAAAGTGATTTTGCATGACTTTTCATTAGTTCAAAGAAACTTTGTAGTTTCTCCTTGGCTCTCTTTTGAACACTAGTTTAGGGGAAGCCAATCCCAATGTAAGATATGTGACTACCATGAGACCACCATGCTGTAAAGAGAGTCAAAGAAGCCATAGGGAACATGGAAAGAGAGAGAGAGATGCCCAGCTAGCCCTCAGCTGTTTCAGGGCCGTCCTTGCGGGGCTGACAGACCTATAACTGAAGATACCACATCGAACATTCTGCCATA